GCGGCGGCGGCGGCGGCGGCGGCGGCTCCTCGGGCTACGGCTCCTACTACCAGGGCGGGGACGGCTACACGGCCCCCGCGCCGCCCAAGCACGGCGGCAAGAAGCAGCAGCACGGCGGCGGCCAGAAGGGCTCCTACGGCTCCGGCTACGCCGGCCACCAGGGCCAGCAGTCCTACGGGCAGGGCCAGTACGGCAGCTACGGCCCCGGGCAGGGCAAGCAGAAAGGTTACGGCCACGGCCAGGGCGGCTACTCCTACTCCAACTCCTACAACTCGCCCGGCGGCGGCTCCGATTACAACTACGAGAGTAAATACAGTGAGTGGAGAGAGGGGCGAGTCGCGGCGTTGGGAGAGGTTGGGGGTTTGAGTCACCCCAAAAGGGGTTTTGGGTCTGGGGTGGTCTCTGGAGCACCTCTGTGGTGGGAGCTCCTGCTGGAATCGCAGGGATGGATCCAGATTTGGGGGTGGGGGGTCTGGATGGGAGATCCTGGGGGTTCTTCTCGTCCCTCCCAGGAGCTGCAAAGAAATGAGGTTTGGGTTAAAAGAGGGATTTGGGATTGGAGCTGGGATGAGTGACGGGGAGAGGGGACAGAGGGGGCGGTGCCCAGCCCTGGGCACATTCCTAGGGGATAATCCACGGCTCAGAACGCTTGGATAAAGATCCCAAATCCTCCTGGAATTCCGAGTTTTTGGTGGGGCTCGGCTTAGTCAAGTTTCTGGTGGGGTTCAGCTTAATCAAACCCAACACCCTGAGTGTGCTGGACGTGCTGGGCGTGGGTGGGGGGTCCATGTGGGTGCCCACATCCTCATCCCCAAATTTTTTCCCCCCATTCCCAGGTTACAGCGGCAACAGCGGCCGCGGCGGCGGCGGCAACAACTACTCCGGGGGCAGCTCCTACAACTCGGGCTCCCACGGGGGCTACGGAGGCTCCGGCGGCGGGGGCTCCTCGTACCAAGGTAAGGCAGGTCAGTATTGACACCCCCCGTGCCACCAGCTTTGGGGCCTTGCTCCAGCCCCACACCGACCCTAATTCCTCCTCTCTTCCTCCTCCTCCTCCTCCTCCTCCTCCCGCAGGCGGATACTCCTCCCAGTCCAACTACAACTCGCCGGGTTCCCAGAACTACAGCGGCCCCCCCAGCTCCTACCAGGCGTCCCAGGGTGGATACGGCAGGAACGAGCACAGCATGAGTTACCAGTACAGATAAACCCTCCCCACCCACCCGTGTCCCCCCCCGGGATCCTCCCGGTTTTATCTCCCCCTCCTCAACCCTCCCCGTTGCTCTGTGTGACCCCCGGCGGCCGCGCCCGCCGCCCCTGGGCCTCTATTTAATGGGTCGTAGTTGCCACGACGACTTGGTCTAAATAGGATTATTATTATTATTTTTTGGGATTTTTTTTTGGTTTTGTTTTGTTTTTGTTTTTTTTGGGAAGTCGATCCATTTCTGGAGCCTTTATCCCACGCCCCGGCTGGGGGACGGGCCCTCGTTGTTCTGCTTTTGTGAAGTGCGTTAAAAAGGAGCTTTTTTCGGTATTTTCTGGCTTTGGTGGTTGCAGTTTTTTTTGGGGAAAGGGTGGGAGTGGGGGACGGGGGTGTGGAGGAGGTGAATAAACCCAAAATTTGGGATGGTTTGGGCTCCTGATGCGTTGTTCTGCACCTCCAAACCCAACGCTGGGAGGATTCTCATAAAAAACCCCACAAATTCCAAGTATTTGTCCCTTAAACCCCTTAAGTGCTGAGGACTGGGGTTGAAGTGGGGATGAACTGGTGCCAAACTGGGGCTGAACTGGGGCCAAACTTGAGATGATCTGGGGTTAAACTGGGGCTGAACTGGGGCCAAACTTGAGCTGAACTGGGACTAAACTGGGGCCAAACTGGGACTGAACTTGAGCTGAACTGGGGCTAAACTGGGACTAATCTTGAGCTAAACTGGGGCCAAACTTGAGCTGAACTGGGGCCAAACTTGAGCTGAACTGGGACTGAACTGGTGCCAGACTTGAGCTGAACTGGTGCCAAACTGAGGCTGGGCTGGGGCAAAACTTGAGATGATCTGGGATTAAACTGGGGCCAAACTTGAGATGATCTGGGATTAAACTGGGGCCAAACTTGAGATGAACTGGGGCTGAACTTGAGCTGAACTGGGACTAAACTGGGACTGAACTGGTGCCAAACTGGGGCTGGGCTGGGGCCAAACTTGAGATTAACTGGGGCTAAACTGGTGCTGAACTTGAGATGAACTGGGGCCAAATTTGAGATTAACTGGGGCTAAACTGGGGCCAAACTTGAGATGATCTAGGATTAAACTGGGGCCAAACTTGAGCTGAACTGGGACTAAACTGGGGCCAAACTGGGACTGAACTTGAGCTGAACTGGGGCTAAACTGGGGGTGAACTTGAGCTGAACTGGGGCCAAACTTGAGATTAACTGGGACTAAACTGGGGCCAAACTGGGACTGAACTTGAGCTGAACTGGGGCTAAACTGGGGCTGAACTGGGGCCAAACTTGAGCTGAACTGGGACTAAACTTGAGCTGAACTGGGGCTGAACTTGAGCTGAACTGGGGCCAAACTGGGGCTGAACTTGAGCTGAACTGGGGCGGGGCACNCGGGAACGGCACCAGGAGCGGGGCCTGGAATGTGGCACATCCCGGGAAACACCGGGAACGGCACCAGGAGCGGGGCCTGGAATGTGGCACATCCCTGGGAACGGCACCGGGAGCAGGGCACATCCCGGGAAACACCGGGAATGGCACTGGGAGTGGGGCCTGGAATGTGGCACATCCCGGGAAACACCAGGAACGGCACCGGGAGCGGTTCCTGGAATGTGGCACATCCCGGGAAACACCGGGAACGGCACCGGGAGCGGTTCCTGGAATGTGGCACATCCCGGGAAACACCAGGAACGGCACCGGGAGCGGGGCACGGCCTGGCAAACACCGGGAGCGGTGCCTGGAATGTGGCACATCCCGGGAAACACCGGGAACGGCACCGGGAGCGGGGCACGGCCTGGCAAACACCGGGAACGGTGCCTGGAATGCGGCACATCCCGGGAAACACCGGGAATGGCACCGGGAGCGGGGCCTGGAATGTGGCACATCCCCGGGAAACACCGGGAGCAGTGCCTGGAATGCGGCACATCCCGGGAAACACCGGGAGCGGTGCCTGGAATGCGGCACATCCCGGGAAACACCGGGAGCGGTGCCTGGAATGCGGCACATCCCAGGAAACACCGGGAATGGCACCGGGAGCGGTGCCTGGAATGCGGCACATCCCGGGAAACACCGGGAGCGGCACCGGGAGCGGGGCACATCCCGGGAAACTCCGGGAATGGCACCGGGAGCGGAGCACATCCCCGGGAAACACCGGGAACGGCACCGGGAGCGGGGCACATCCCGGGAAACTCCGGGAATGGCACCGGGAGCGGAGCACATCCCGGGAAACTCCGGGAATGCTGCCCAGAGCGAGGCACATTCCAGCGCCAGGGCCAACCCCCACCCGGATCCGTCGGGATGACGGCACCGGCACGGACGAGGCTCCAGGCCTTTTATTTCAAAACATCGGATATAAGTTAAGGCGGCGCGGCAGATCCCGGATCCGGGCGGATCC